TGGCCCGAGCTGGGGCGGGCGAGCCCTCCGCCGCCGCTCCGGGTGGGGGAGCGCTTCCGGGCCGCGGTGTCCCGGCATGCCCCGCGGCCGGATGTGCCGCCATCTTTAGGGCCCCTCTCTGCCTTGTATTGACAATAACAAGCCCCGATCCGGCTCCCCCTCCCGGGACAGAGCAGGAGGCAGAGAGGGGGGAGGAGGGAGAGCGTCGAGAGCAGGCTGGAGAGCGCCGGCTGGGGCGGGGGGCAGCCGGCAGCGTCCACGGGCGCCTTCCCTGCGGAGAAAGGGGCAGGAGGCGGAGAGGGCAGCAGTTAGGAGCCCCCCGCGACGGCTGAGGCTGGGCCTGGACAGGAGGGTTGGGAGGCGCTAGCGGGCGGAGAGAGACGGGGAGAGCGAGGCCCTGCGAGAGGAGTGGGGGCAGGAGGCTGCCAGCGACTACTGAGCGGAGACAAAGGAGCAGGGGGAAGGGGGCGAGAGGCCGTCAGGGGCTCCCCTGAGAAGGAAGGAAGCCGACGAGACGGGAGACCGGACGACCCGACATCCCGGGGGAGAGAGAGAGAGAGGAGCTGAGAGACTCTTGATCCGGCAGCCCCGAGACGGACTCGGACTCTCTCTCTTGGTCTGTCCTACCACCAGGATTTGATGCCCCTCAGCCTGCTCATCTCTGTGTGTTCATGTTTCCCACAGGTTTCTCTTCCCCCAACCCCCCAGCAGCAGCTCAGGAGGTCAGACCTGCCACTGATGGTAGTAGCAGCAGCAGCTCCTCCTCCTCCTCCTCCTGCAAGAAGAGAAAGTTAAACAGCAGCAGCAACAACTCGGAGAGAGAAGAGTTTGATTCCCTTTCCTCTTGCTCCTCCTCTCCTTCCAAAAACAGCTCCTCATCCTCATCTTCCTCCATCATCACCACCTCTTCCTGCTCCTCCTCAGGGGGCGCCTCCACCAACCATCACCTACAGAAGAAGCTGCGCTTTGAGGACTCCTTGGATTTTATTGGACTCGATGTGAAGATGGCTGAAGAGTCTTCCTCTTCCTCTTCTCCCGCCGCCTCTTCTCAGCAGCAGCACCAGCAGCAGCTCAAAAATAAAAGCCTTTTAATTTCTTCAGTGGCCGTTGGGCACCATGCGAATGGTCTGACCAAAGCTGCCTCCTCTACTGTTTCCAGTTTCGCCAATAGTAAACCTGGCTCTGCCAAGAAGTTAGTGATCAAGAACTTTAAAGGTAACAGGCCATAATGTGAAGAGTTGACACGCTGCTTGTATTTTATGTCTACATGACAACTATCCACTGGGCTTGTAAATAGGTATAAGTTCTACTGGAAATATTCTTTGGTGGTGAACCCCCAAGCGTGTGTAGAAAAAGGGGAAAGTCATCTTTTTTTATAGTATGGGATTTATGACACTGCATACGCACTTGGAGATTTATGTCACTTAGGATTGCTTTTTGGACGCTCTCAGTGTACCTGTGAAGGAGAGACTTTGTTGTGGGCATTTAAGAAACGTCTTCTGGTGAGAGGTTGTTTTTTAATTGCCTTTATTCAGAATGGCCGTATTTGATATTGCCTTTGAAGTAATCCTGACTCAAGTCACAACAGTAATTTAGTCCAGGTCATCTAATAGCTCATAGCACAGGGTAGCCACTTGAAAATAGCCTCTTCTGCCTGGTGTCTTTCCATTTGTTAAGTTTGAAATTAATTTAGATTTTAAAATGATTATTGAGATTTAATGCTTGAGCGCTTTGTGGATTGACAGCTGAGCATCCTGCTACACATTTTCGTGGCGTTATCTGTGACCCATTACTTTTATGTCTTCTCTTCTTCACCTATCTTGACTCGTTTTTTTCTTTTCTTTCCTTTTCTATTTTTCCCCCTCTTTATTCCGCGCCCCCCCCCCCAAAAAAAAGGGGGTGCCTGCTCATCTTCCTGCATGAGTTTGGGTTGTTGAATGAGGCCAGGAAGTGTTGTGACTGAGCAGATACCAAAGCTTTGGATACCATGTTGCTTGAACCTGAGCTACTCCCTTTAATAGCTACTTTATGGTTTACTTCCTGGAGTAGGCAGGGAACATACAGCGGCTCAAAACCTGTGCCTGTTACTTATGTCAAAACTTGGGCAAATCCAGGGTTCATGTAGCTCTCTTCGCTTCTTCTCTCTGACACTTTGCACTAATTCAGAAGCTTCCTTCCCTATTCCATTTCCTTTATTCATGTTGAAAAATACTGATTTACATAATTTTTTTTTTTTTTTTTACTCCTAAGTAATGCTAGTATTTTGTTGGTATTTGAGGCAGGGAGGGGGGGAGTCTGGTAACTCCACTGTTCCAGTATGTTGTAAGGTATCTATAATGAGCCCCAACTTATATGGGGCTCGTTATAGATACCCTACAACATACATGGATTAGATTGTAACGCTGGTTTTCCCAGTGACATTAGGAAGTGTTCTTCCACTTACTCTACTGCCACATGCATTCCTTGTTCACTCGCAGACTCAGAATATTAGATTAAGGCATGATCCTGAGAAACTGACTTTCAACCATGGCTTTCTTATCTAGAGTAGTGAAATTTAGGCAGTGGCTTTTTACAACTTTTTTTAATTGCTGTGGGTTTTAGTTGCCTATTATGAACTGCCATGTTGGCTCCCACCTGGCAAACTAGTATATATAAAATGTATCAGTTTTGTGACTGCAGTTCTTCAACCTTTCATGTTGAGGAAGTAAGTTTGACCTTATCTGAGATGCTAGTAATGTTTGATTTCTTTTTTTAAAACAACACCTTTTTCCAATTGACTGTTAAGTCTTAGGCAGACAAGATTACTCAGGTAAATATGATATCTTTTATTAGACCAACTGAATAACTGGAAAAATTGCTTTTTGCCAGTTTTCGGATACAAGCGTCCCTTTCACTTCACTCAAACAGTAAAAAGTGAGCTGGTCTCATTTCTGGTTAGATTTGCTTTTAAGTTTAAGTTCTGGCATAATGATGGAATATCTCCAACACTGGAGAAAAATATTAAATTAACAGCAAATATTAGTTTTACATTTTGATTTTATCCAAGGGGAAAAATGCAGAAAAGATTTGTCTTTAGAAGCTTGTTCACACTTGGCCTGATGAAGCTCTAGAAGTGACCGATATAACTTCCTCCCCAGCCTTCTTTCCCTTTCTTCCCCACCCTGCAGTGTTTTTACTGGAACAAAGATAATCACTTGAATTTGAATTTTGAAAATATAAGTATTTATCAACTAGTTCCGTTTCTCCTATAGTTCCTGATAATTCTGAGACCTTAAGGTATCACCACAATCTTGCCTAAAAGAGGTTGAGATCTTTGAGCATCCTCATCCATGTTGATCGATATTTTCCATAAGGATCTCTGTTAAACACTACAAAAGCAAATTTATATCATGGATTGTAAGTACTCTCTCTCTCTCCGCTGCATATCTAGTCCCTGCCAGTCTAAGTTGCTGGTATTCATGGTAGAGTCCTTGAACTGAGCTGATTAATAGTAAATGACTGGATGTTTAAAAAAAAAATCCTTAACAATCCCATAATTTTTTTAAGGCAGTTATTATATGGATTTATGACTCAAAAAATAAGCTTGCTGCAACATCGAGGATGGAACATTTTAAAGGGGAAAAAAAGATTTCTGAGCATATTTTAAATCACTTTTATTTTTTGACAATAAGACAGCCAGGAGCATCCATGGGAAGGAGCATGTACAAAATACTAGTGGATTAAAATCTTTTCAAACTTGATCATTTCAGCTAGAATGACTTGGAAAAACTTTTCAGCACCTAGTGGTTGAAACTTACCAAATCTTGCAAACCTAGGGATACGGTACCACAAAAGTTCAGTTTTGAATTTTTTTTTTTTAACATCCAGTCATTTACTATTAATCAGCTCAGTTCAAGGACTCTACCACTAATACCAGCAACTTGGACTGTCAGGGACTAGATATGCAGCAGAGAGAGTACTTAGAGTCCATAATACAAATTTGCTTTTGTAGTGTTTAACAGAGACCCTTATGGGAAAATCGATCAAAAGGGATGAGGATGTTCAAGGATCTCAAACTCTTCTAGGCAAGATTGTGAAAAGATTTGTTAAATCCTTAATATCCAGATTTATGATAATTCCTTTTTAAAATAAAATGTTATAACTGAAGTAGTTGATGGCAGAGTGTCTCTTCACCATCATTCCTACTTGGCACTGGTGCGCATGCATATTGATTTTTCTTTTTTTTTTAAGTTGATAGAGGAGCAAACATTACAAAGGCCTATATATGTACATGCAGTTGTTTTAGCTCAGAATATCAGTCATACAGTTGTCAAAGAACTAGCTTCATTTTGCCAGTCCTTGGTGTTTCTTTCCCATTCTGTTGGCTGGTGCTTCTATCTTAATAAAGTCAGTACTGATGAGAACAGACTAACACAATTTTATTTTCTGAGCTGCTAGATTGTAAGTACAGTTGGATTTGTAGATCACTATATGATGTCAGTGCTACAGCTGTTGTGGGACATAGGCACAACCGGGGAATTTGAAGCGTGTCTCGAGGCAAAAACTTAAAATGTTTTAGTTACTTAGTTTAAATAAGATGCTATTATAAGATTTTTTTTTCATATATAAATTAAATGGAATTCCCTTTCAAACACTTGTCACTTATTCACATTTATGTAAGAGCTAGAATTTTTGGCCGTTGTTAAACAGGTTCTCCCTTTGTTCTAGATAAACCTAAATTGCCTGAAAACTACACAGATGAAACCTGGCAAAAACTGAA